CGCCATGTGATGGACGAAAGATGTGTAGGCTTTCACCGAAACCGAAGGAGACTGCCTCGAGGACAGCATCAACAACAACATTATAGAAGAGCCAATTGACCGGTGGCCAAGAGGAGACCGCCACCTCGAATCTTTTCACCGCATACTTTCACTCAAAATGCAAGTGAGCCCAACGAAAATGCTGTAGATTCATATCATATTAGCTTATAGTATAAGGTTATATATGAATTATGAATACATTGATGGACAATGATGAAAACATTCCCAGCACCTCTCCACACTAACCTATCTGAGAAATACTTTGTAGCTAGACTTTGAAATGGGGAAGTAAATAAGTGGACAAATGCCATGAAATATAGATAGGTTTTAGCCTTTACGTGAACGGTGGAAGAAAACAGACCTTAGTAAGGCTGGTTAGCACCTCCTGTTCTTCACGTTCGTGACGTTTGTTCAGCTCCTGCGACTGACGGTCATGCTTTTGTGCCAACGCTTTGCGCTGATCAATAAAGCGCTTAGTGTTGTAATCATTCAACTCGCGAATGCGGCGCTCACGTTCCGCTTTGTTGCGCAGTTTCCTATCGTTGAGTACCGATCGGTTGGATTCAATAGAAGTCTTAGTCTGCTGGGCCTTCATATCCTTCATGTCACGCTCCTGAATAATGCGAAGCTCACGTTTCTGTTCTTCCTGAACCTCTTTTATGATCTTTAAATTGTAAAACAACGTATAAGAGAAATAGAAGTTAAAAAAATCATGAACCAAAGATGACACTTGCACAAGTTAACATGTTCATAATTAAAATCAAAAACGGTTAAATTTCCTATTTAACATCTAAGGAGTTTCTACCTTGTTGTAGAAGTTTCAAAGAACGTAGTCTTATGTAAGGTAAACTCAAAGAAAGAGTCCTTGGTAAATAAAAGTTTAAAACTTCCGCTTGACTTGGCTAAGTGGTTTATGAAAAGATAAATCCTGAAAAAATAGCTGGTACATATACATAGTATAATACAATATATAAAGTATAGCATCTTATGTTATAGTATATTATGTTTTTGGAGGTAAAACACGGTGTAAGACTCTTTTCCAATAGTCATAACTTTTTGAAGAAATGCCAAGATCGATCAAGAAATTAATTCACTATGGAAATGAAAAGAAAGTACAAAATTAATCATAGTGTCGTAAAATCCCAACTATAAGATTTATAAAAAATGTCTACAAAGTTGAGACCATATAAAGTGGAATAAGTGAGAAGCCTTTATGCTAGAAATAGGAATAAGGCGTTTGTTTGCAAATTTATTTATTTGTTATGACTAGGTCCTATTCGAATCAAAGGGCTTAGCAAATTATAAAATTAGTTGTCATAGCGTCTTTTGTGTGGTTGCAATATAGACCACCGTGAATCAACCTTGGATTCTGTATTATTAAAAAGTTGCGCATTTAATTAAATCATCTAATAAGTCTTTGAGCGATGGGATTCGTAGATATACTCCAAGCCTATCCTTCTTTGAAAAAAGTTGCTGTAATGGTAGGGGAAAAATAAATTCACCTTGAGTAGCAATTCTTTCCTCTCATCGATGAAGGAAAGCAGTAACTCGTGAACCTCCTTGGCCTGGGAGGCCTTCAAGGTACTCCATTGATCGGTCTGCTGACGCACCAATTCCGTCATCTGGAGAAAGACAAGAAACAGGATAACAGCACGGGAAATAATAGCTGAACCAATTTAGTAGAACCTTACTAACGTTTACTAAGGTCAAATAAAAGCAGTTTTGAGAATCCTTTTATCTATGAGATCAAAAAATGTGTGGGGCAAAACCACTTTTAACATAGTAGCTTTGAAGCAATTAAAGATTACACATAAATACAGAATTAACCAGATAAAAGCTACACACTAATCAAGAGCGATTTTTATCTAGCGGTTATAATGTGAAATAAAAATTGAATAATATAACTATTCATCATAGAATAACCTACGAAGTAGGGCTGGGAAGTTAAAAATGTCATGCTACAAGAAAAGTCCAATAATACCTTGGAGCTCAAGTCTTGATTAATTAAATGAGTTAAAATATATTAAGACAGGAGTATAAGAATGTTCATAATTCTAAGAAGCAACTAAGCAATGATATATTTAAAACTTTAAAATACTTTGATGTATTTGGTAGTTAAAAGGTGTGATTCATTTAGGAAATAGAAATAATACCACTGGTCTACTATTTAAGATAAATAAATAAGTTTGAAAAAGCGGTTCACAAATGCAAGTACAATAAATTTATACTAGAGAATGGCTGATAAAATAATGGAAAGCAAAAAATAACTCCCTAAATAAAATCCACACACTTTCATTAAAGAATTTAAATGCTTCATATGACTGATGCCTGGTTGATTCAGTATTTCTACCAACATTATCTGTTCATTTTCGAGCCAAGGTAGCACCACAAATGTAGAATGTATCGAATCCATCAGAATCAACAGAAAAATATGAAGTGTTAAATTGTTCAATTATATTAGTATGTGATTATTGTATTATTGTGGGACTTAATGAAAACCCCTTTCTCTGGAGATATATTAGTCATGATCCCTAATGATATCAATATGTAAAGAAAGCCAAAAGACTGTAACCTAACTTAGTTAAGGTGAATTGTGCTGTAAGAAGTTTGGTAGATTGCTTATGGTCATTCAATATATAAAAATCTGTGCGAAGAAATAATTAGCATGTATACCGAAAATCTGGGACAAAATCACTTGCACACAATAACAGATAGTATAAAATGTAATTGCGAATGTTGTGGTGGAAAATTCAATAATTCCAGAGTCCCTTATTTTTTTAAGTAAAATACATAAATAAAAAAGGCAGCAAACAAAGAAAAAACTTAAGTGTTAACAAATTGTGCTTTTGAGAAAGTCATAAGTCAGGTCTCGAAATATCTAAGCTCAAATAACAATATATCTTATTTCCAAAAATGTCTTTTTATATTGCTTACTAATCGATTTCTTGTAATTAATATGGGGCTTTTGTCGATTGTGGCTTCCAGTCTTACATAGATGAAAAAGAACATTCAGATGACAAAGCTAGAGGCTGGTTTCGACTCGAAATGTAAAAGTTGAAAGCTGGGGCATAGGGACATTGTAAAAGGAAAATCAAACTAGCTATGTTTGAAACAGACGAGTGATGGATAATAATAGGAAAGAATCAAATCATATGAGATGCATTCGTTCTATTTAGTTTATGATGATGAAGGGACTAGTAGTTAAATTTTTTCGCAGCGATACAAGTATACCTTACGTTTCCATTGAATTTCACATAGCTCTGTTACCCAAAGGGTATTACCATCCAGAGTGGAGCTAACAGCTGATGAGACCTAAGGGAGATCGAAACTGCAGTGCAGCATGGATGAGAATAACTTTTAGGAACGCAAGGCTATGTGAAATTAAGTGAAAATGAAGGGTCTACTCATACAATTGTGAAAAATTTAACTACAAGTACCCTTATCACCTTAGATGAAATAGAGTGAATATATATATATATGAATAATATTAATCAACAAAATAGTAAAGCATAAGCAGGAGTGACAAAGAAATAGATAACTTAAAATTTAGACAAAATAAATAACAGACCTGGGTCCGATGACTTTCGCTCATAGTTGATTCAGTCCCATTCTCCCTAAAAGATATAAAGCCATTATTTTAAAAGTAAGTTAAACCAGATGCATGTCACAAACATGGAGTAGATACAATGAATACTGGTTGATTGGGCCATCGACCAATCGGAACAGCCGTTTATATGGGACACATTTTATAGAAAAAAACGGAATACCCCAAAATGATTGACAATTAGGAACTACACGCGTATATGACAAATGCTCTAAATGTATTATTTAATATTTTTCCCTAATTTCCTCTCAAAATTGTTGTCTATTAAACGGTAGTTTGTC